AGATACAGTCAGAGAAATATTTATAAATTTTGACAGGTATAGGTTAGCATGCGTCACATGTATAAGTATCAATAGATAATAATATGACATCTTGTTCTTTATTTTCAGCATCTGTTCAGATGTTGATGGGGAAATTACAATCAGAGAATTATGGAGCTGAGAAATTGAATAGATACATCAATGAAATTAACCAGCGTAGATGAAATAGTAGGAGAAATAACAAAATACGTACTCTGAAAACAGGGATGCAATTACTTTCTTGCAAGATACATCTGGAAATATTCTTAAGGTAAAAGAAATATTATACATTATTTTCTTAAATGAATCTTTTATTTCAAATTAATGGTGTTGAGTACAATGTATGAATATATAATATGATTTCCTTTTCTTTGTTTTCAGCATTTGTTCAGGCATTGATGGGAAAATTATAACAAAGAAATTATGGAGTAGACAAATTGAGTAGATAGATTAAAGAACTTAACCAGTGTAGATGAAATACTAGAAGAAATAACAGATTCGTACTCCGAAAACAGGGATGCAATTACCATCTTGCAGGATACATCTGAAAATATTCTTAAGATAAGAGAAATATTAAACATTATTTTCTTCAATGAATCCTTTATTTCAAATTAATGTTGTTGAGTACAATGTTTGAATATATAATAATATGATTTCCTTTCCTTTATTTTCAGGATTTACTCAGACATTGATGAGGAAATTGCAACTAAAAAATTATGCAGTAGAAAAGTTTGATAGATACAGTGAAGAAATTATCCAAAGAAGAGGATTATTAAATCAGATAGACAAATTATTTTATTTCATCTAATCACTTCACATTATTTTTTACTATTTTTCACTTAGGTTATTTATTGGTATTTATTTATCTTGAATATTTTACTTCTTTTAACTACTCTAACTTTAGATGAATGTACTACTTTTCATTTTATTTATTTCACTTATCTCATTTCATTTTACTTAGTTGTTATACTTATTTTGTTTGTATATTTATTTTCCCTATTTTCTTATTTTAGCTAACATGGTACAAATTAGTTTCTACGTAGAACACTATAGTATTTGTTAGAATTTTATTCTGTGATTAATCCCCTTCGACGGTTCTGGGGTAAGTGCCATGCCGTTCCTCATGGTCCTCCTACCAGAAGATGCAAGATCTTCCCTACTCCGTGGCCAGATCCTTCTAGATCAACCTTATCTTTTTACATGTGCCATGCAGCACCATGACTTCGGGTCATCGGCCACACGCGCGTTCCTTCGAGAATCGGCGATCGAACTCTCTATCGCCGTTCCATAAACAAAACATCCGCGACTCTTAGAATTCGTCGCACCTCAAGTATCAACCACCGCCGGCCCAAGTCCGATGACAGACATATGGCTCGGGGTATCGATAGCCTAAAGAATCCTAAGAAATCCTTGAAACTCAGGTCAAAGCCCAAAATGCATTGACCCTGACACGTGTCAACCCTTGAACACGTGCTGAAGCTAACATATTAATAACAAGTAAGATAGTTAAGAAAGTAAGAAAATGGAAAATGGAAAAATATATTAAAAACTTTGTAACAGGTTTGGGAACGCTCCTCATAAAAGCGCCAGGCAATCCTGCAGGGGAAGTTTAATAAACTTATCTATCTACTTATTTCAGCTATTTACTTTACCTTTTTTTATTAATTTATTTTACATATTGACCTTGTTTACTTATTTATTTATTTTATCATAATGTCTACTTAGTCTATCTTATCTTATTTGACTAGCATATTTTAAGTAAATAAATTAATAGGAAAGAATGAGGCTTTTGAACTGTAATTTCCTTAATATAGAGTTTAATTAACCGTTCACATTGTCTTCTTCTACATGCAAATAAATACTTTTGTCGAGTAAGATTTTATAAACAACAAAAACCAGTTGTAATGTCAGAGTAATTATTTCACTATTCACTTTCCTCTATTTTGTATCACTTGTATGGTGATTACAAATCTCAAATTCATAGCATTCGATTACAACAGTTTAACTAAAATATTTCATTATTCAGACCAATCAGAAAAAGTATTGGAATATTTACAAACAATCTTGTTCAATGAAGACTTATGGAGAAAAGATAGAACAAGATATTCAGTTACTATGAATTAGTTTTATGTCGCCATGGGCAAATATAACCTAAAACCTTACAATACGTAATTCATTAAATTTCTTGCAATATTGTGCCAGATAATATTATTTACACGTAGTTCCACAATATATTTTGTCAATTACATTTCTACTTCACAATTTTTTGACGAAACACGGAGCACATGACAAACTCTAACGCCTTATGCAGCTGATGCGAAAAAACTAGAAATTGATAGAAATCGATAATTCCACTATTTTTCCACGCATTTTCATGATCAACCTCTGTTTATGCCTAAAATCGCGAGATCTTTAAAAATTTTGAACGAGCAAAGCATACATTACGTATTGTATAATATACGTTATACATTATTTTAAATAAATTTAAAAATTGCAAATGTACTTATAACATAACATTTTCTTATTCTAATTCTATCTTTCGCCGCTGTTTTTATAATTTTGTATTGCCAAAATATTTGCCCGTGCCAATGTTTCACACCGAAAGCAAAAAAAGAAAAACAAATGATATGTACAAGAATTTGGATTCGAACCCGATCCGTCTCGCTACTAGACTAGCACTCTACCGCTTCAGCCACTGAGCCAGGTTTGTAATAAGAGTTACCTGTATGACATACCAGATACGAGAAAATACCAGACGCTTCACATTAAAATATCTCAAAAACGAAAGCCTATTGTAACGAAGCTCATTAAAATTTTGTTACCCTATATGCATACTACAACTTCCACCTAGTGCCATTCCAAAAGTGATTTCCACTACCGTGCACATTCCATGTAAGCTCCAATTTTCCTTTTTCCATAAAATCATGTTTTTTTATTATTACTTATATTAAAATAAACAATAATTTGATAGCGTATGCAAATTATTTAAAAAATATTTTATCGTCAAGTATACACAAAAATAATTTTGGAGCACTACTGGTTTTTTGGGTATATAGAATAGAAAAGGAATTATTTCTTTCTAAAGGTCATTGTATTTATACCCACCGGCTGATCTTTTATGATGGGACTATTGGAAATTGACAAAGTGTTGGAATAACACCATTATTCGCTCCTAACATAAAACCAAACATTTCATTCAATTACATATATACAATTATATTCTCACAAGATATATCTGGAAATATGTTTAAGGTAAAAGAAATATTAAACCTTATTTTCTTCAATACATTCTTTATTACAAATTCATGTTGTTGAGCACAATGTATCAGTATATGATAATATGATTTCATTTTCTTTATTTTCTGCATTTGTTCAGACATTGATGGTGAAGTTGCAACTAAATAATTATGGAGTAGACAAATTGAATAGATACATTAAAGAAATTAACCAGCGTAGATGAAATACTAGGAGAAATAACAGATACGTACTCTGAAAACAGGGATGCAATTACCTTCTTGCAGGATATATCTGGAAATGTCCTTATTATTTACCAAAGGATTTTCACTACATCCCTTTAGTGTGGTTTTAATTTTAATATTTCTGTACAGCGTGGTTCGTTTGAATGAGTGTGTGATTTTTGCACAAAATAATGTTCATCTTTTTGAATTAATGTTCCTGTACATTTGTTAGCATGACGACCAGAACAACGGTAGATCTTCATGTACATAGATATACACGTGGTCATACTTATTTGTACAAATAGTAATAAATAATTCATATTAACCAAACCAAAGCATTTTTTAAATAAACTAATATCCTTCCATTCATTTTATTGATTGTGTACATTAATATCCTCATAATAAGTACCTTCATAGTTAATAAATTTACATCAAATTTGAATTCAAATAAGATTATAATATTCAAATACTTGTATCATAAAAGCAATTGCTTTAACCTAATGTAATTTTATGGAATATAAACAATATACAATAATCAAACTATGAATACTTCTAATGCAAGAACTTGTATTTTTGTTATAATACAATTACTAAAAATGATGATATTATAAATGATCAAATACATAAATATGAATATAAACTTTGAACAAGGTAATTATGGAATAAGATATACTCAATAAATGTATTAGCAAATAGTTTTACATGACATTTATCACACGATCACAACAATAGTAATGGTGTGTCAAATCTTGATTATCTGTATGTAATATTGATTCGCAGCTAGTTATTTATATACATAAGTGTGGCCACATGGTAGCGTTATGCTAGTGACGCCTAATTTGCAGCAGCAACTCCTTCGTCCAGACCCTTCTTCTAATTAATAACATGGAAACAGAATACACCAAAACGAGATGAATTTTAAAATACTATAAAATATGTATATTATAAAGTTCATTAGCGAAATTTAATTTTGCATTAATAAATAACAATATAAAATAATATTATGTGATATCGTGTACTATCTATATTATCTTTCTATAAGCTCCCCATTGTACTTTAAACCAAAAGTAAAGATATGAATAAGTAAAAAATTTACCTTCTATTAAATTCTGTTCATTAATTTGACTACCACTTATACAAATGTCAGTATCTGAAAAACGATTTTAATTAATAAAATAGTATTTAAAAACTTGAACATCGTCTGAAAATATCAGTGAAGGTGAAACATACTATCTGTCATATTATCCAGACTTATGTATAATTCTTGTAAAGCAATTCTCGTGTCCATGGATGGCGAAGAAATATCACCTAAAACAAATAAGTACACATTAAACATGATCCCAGTAAAATAGACTAACTTTGTAATACATAATCTAAACATTAATACAAAAGAAAAATAAACAAGTGTAACAGAACGGACCTTCTACTGTACTACGCATGTAGGTACACCACGACTGTCTATACATACATTATCGTTATCTGTTGATGTTGATAGAATGTCATCTATAAAAGATTACGTATGGTAATAATTGAGGTGTTAAATAATAGATACAATTCAAGACTGAAGTAATTAAAAACATGTACCATTTACATCAGTAATTGTTGTACTATCAACCTGTACATATTGTGTACACAAATCCTCGTTAGTCGTGTGCACGAGCAATCTGTCCTCTGAAAAAGATAAAAAATTGCAATTTGTACAAATTAAATCCAAATAGTTAACAAAATTCATCTCAGTTTGGAGATAGGGATAATTACCTGTACTAAGTGTTTCATTCGTGTGAGTTTCATTTATTGGATCACTTTCATCGCAGTCTAAAAACCAATTAAAAAGATTTTACTTGAAGCATAAGTCGAACGTAGCATTGTTAAAGTATGAAATCGTACCTCCTGACAATACATTATTAACGTAGTGCCGTTGTTCGTGATCTGTATAAAAGGTAGAAATAGGTAGCCATACACTTCTTAGATACGCCATAAACATAAGTACATTTGGATATGTGTCGGATAAACGATCAGCGACTAACTGAATTTGATGTAATGCTTCTGGAAACATATCGGATGGAGCTAAAGGCATTGTCATAGCCATTGACAGAATCTTTTTTGGTGCTCCTTGCAACCCCAATTTCTTCCATTTCCTTAATACAGCCTGAATAATAAGAAAAGGATTATTCAATTCTGTATTGAGCACGTCAAGGAGGTAAGTTATGCAAAAAATACATGAATAATGCAAACAGTTATATTCTACCTGAGTAAAATGAAACCAGCATCCATGTATGGTAACCCTGGGGAATTGTGCTTGTACACTTTCCATAGCAGCTCTCTCGTAATCACACATGACAGTTTTTAAGTTGTCTTGCAATCGTGGAACAAGAGAAACTATTTCTCTCCACATTGCTGTGTACATTGTTTTAGTACGACATTCACATAAAACAAAAATGGTAGCGATTCCCTGTAAATTGGTATTATTTTTTAATCTGATAACGTGAGATAAGTGCAACAAGAATTATTAACAGTGATATACCGTGTCATTGTACCGTATGTGTACTGTGTACAGTTGATGAAAAGGAGGAATTCGTGGTACCACCTAATAAGAGATAAAAAATCATCAAAATGTAAAGACTTTCATTACTTGAAGAATATTAATCACATGAATGGTTTCTCTTAAATACTTACCGAAAAAGTACCATCCATATATATTTCTTTTGCATTTTCTAATGCACTTAGTAATGTAGTATTAGAGAAAATTAATGCGTATTTGTTATCATTTGAGATTGCACATCCCTTGTAAATTTCTTTCAGGATATCATAATCTTTTAATATTTCGTGTGAACTCTGTACTGTTTTTGGTGTCACGTAGACAGACCGTTTTTATCAAACGTGTCTCCTTTCAAATAAGCTTAAACATCTGGAAAGGAAAACTCTCGGGCAAACCGACCATTTACTCTCGTAATAAACAGAAGGCCCACCGATAGCAGAACCAAACACTTGGGAAAGCAATGGGTCCGCCGTAATCAAATAGCAGATGCAACCACTCTAAACTGTCGCAGAGGCAGGTGGACCCAGCCTGATCACTCGAATAGTAACCAGACCACCCTTCTTAATTAGTATATAAACCCGTTCGTACCAACGATCGGGGGCAGTACCAGAGTTCATCTCGTGTCGAGCACGTCGTGTACGGTAGTGAGTTGGTTACTATTAGTGAGATCGGGTTGAAGTCCCCTTCGAGCAACATTCACCTTATAGAATTCGCGAGTCGTGTTTCTATTTGGCATTACAATCAACCACACACAACACCCCCGCATTGCCAGTGCGTGAACACCGAGCATAGTGGAAATAGGTAATATATCACATTATACACCTATATTCGCGACAACAACATCTGTAATAGACCAAGATTGTAGAATATATACATTGCTGTGTCAAACCCACATTAGCATTCTCCTTTAAACCCAGTGAAACCTTGTGACAGTTCCTACCACAATACAATCTTACCGCTCGGGTTGTATTGATAATAAAATAAGTTACGCGGCCGCCAATCAGAAAGCCTCTGATAGCCACGCGCGCTGCCAAGCCGTCGGCCACGTAACAGAACTGGTGACAGCGGTGGGATATAGTCACATAGATCATTTTCACTGGCATAATTACTTTCGTGGAATTTGACACACGGCTATTACTTTGTTGAACAACGATTGTATACTAGTTTTCCTAGTCAATCGGGTAACAAGAGGTATATACTAGTTTTCCTAGTTACATTCTTTAACCAACAAATTCATTCAACATGGCGAATGAACAAGCCAATATTTCTTCAGCCGATCTTATGAACTTAACAGTTTCGATCGCAAATTCTATGACACTTTTGACACAAAGATCCTGCATACAAAATGTTGCGTTAACAATACCAACATTTGATGGTGAGAATCCACCTTTATCACGTTTTGCACAACTGGTAGAAGATGGATTGACCTTGATTCCTGAGGGAACAGAAAGGGAATACCTTACAATTATTTTAACTAAACTCACCGGTCCGGCGCGAAGAAGTACTTTAGAACATCAATTCACTTCGGTATCCGCGTTGATCAAGCATTTGAAGAGAAGATTTGGACCAGGAAAGAGCTTATCGCAATTTCAAACAGAAATTGCCAGGCTTCAAATTAGGGAATACGAAAGTTTGAGAAACTACATCGATAGAACAAGCCATCTTGTTTATTGTACAAGAGGAGCGATTAAAGAGAAATATCCTAGACATTCAGAGGAAAATATTAAACAAATGGAAATGGATATTTTAGAAAATTTCCTAGATGGATTACCAGACCGCATCTCTTTTAAGGTATCAGCACAAAATAGAGACATTAAAAACTTAGAGGAAGCTTTTGACGCTGTGCTAGAGGTAGACAGGAAATTAAGAAGTCGTCGTGATTTGGCACGAAACACATCACCAGGAGGCTGGAACAACAGGGATCACCACAGCAACGAACGTCGAAATGAAATTTCATACCCTCAATCTCCAACACGACACGATCGATATAGAGATCGACAGAGGAGACCATCTAACTCTGAAGACGAGAGAGAAGGACGACCACGTACATCAGCATGGACTGTGCGATCCAGGAATCAATCGAATTCACCTTCTTATCGTTCAAATTCACCACGCACAGATCAAGATGAAAAACGGTTTACAGTTTTAAAACGCAGTGAAAAGGATGATACTTCGCAGCTATATTGTTGGCGATGTGATACCCAAGGACACGATGAAAAACGTTGTAGGAGGAATTCGCAAAATTTCAGACAGCGATCATACTCTCGAAATTCTTCAGTCGAATCAAACAAGTCTTTAAACTCAGAAAACGCTCAACGGAAAGGCGAGGCGGTGAGCGATCTGCAAAGACCTCGCCAAAAGATAGTCAGATTCACGGGAGAATCCTCATCAAGGAAACCCCAGCACCAAGAATAAAAATCAAAGTTCCGGAATTAGAATTAGAAACAGCTGAATTTTTAATTGACGGTGGCGCGGCAGTTAACTTAATAGTGCGCGATGTTCTCGGAGATCAAGCCAAACGTATCACTAAAGAAGTTATTGAAATCACAGGACTTACAAAATCACCTATTTATAGCATAGGAACCACAATTCTTCACATTCACGGTAAGCCTGCATTATTTTACGTAGTAGAGAACCTTGCAATAGAAGCCGATGGAATTATAGGCAGCCCATTTTTATTACAAGAAGAAGCAGAAATTTCATATTATCATGGAACACTAGTATTGAAAGATAAACCTATTCGACCACTTCGTTTTTCAAATTACCGAGATTTAGCTCAGCAGAAAAATCCGAAATCGACTAAACACCGTATCGAAGCTCGAACAACAAAACAAATTGCAATTCACATAGCTAATCCAAATATTAAAGAGGGATACTTACCGCGACTCAAAACATCAGAAAATATATACATTGGCGAAGCAGCAGTATATAATCGTGACGGCATTTGTTACGCGTTAGCAACGAATACCGGAGAAGACGATGTAGACATCGAAATTGAACCTCAATACATTCATCCTTACGATATTTACGACTCGTCGGACGACGACCCAATTTCTTCATATATGACCGAAAACACACCAGAAAATAGAGCAACACGAATTAGAAATCTTTTAAGAACCGATCATCTCAATGCAGAAGAACGTAAACATGTATTCAACATCGTCGACGAATTTTCAGACAGATTTTACTTGCCTGGAGACAAACTAGGAGAAGTACCGAATTTTTACCATTCAATTCATACAACAGATGACGTACCGATTAATACAAGACAATACCGATATCCACCAGTACACCAAGACGAAATACAACGTCAAGTAAAGGCTCTGTTATTACAAGGAGTTATACAGCCATCTAGTTCACCATATAATTCTCCGTTATGGATTGTACCAAAGAAACCAGACGCTAAGGGCAATAAGCGTTGGCGTATGGTAATCGATTTCCGAGCCTTAAACGAAAAGACTTTGAGTGATAAATTTCCTTTGCCGAATATCACCGAAATTCTAGATAAATTGGGAGGAGCAAAATATTTCACAATTTTTGATATAGCAAATGGATTTCATCAAGTTCAAATGGATCCTAAGGATTGTCCGAAAACAGCATTCACAACACCGGATGGGCATTTTGAATTTGTACGCATGCCATTTGGTTTAAAAAATGCACCACCGACATTTCAACGCTTAATGAATCAAGTTATATCTGGTCTAGAGAACGCTCATGTATTCATAGACGATATGGTTGTTTTCTCTTCATCACTACGAGAACATGAAATAAAAGTAAAAAAATTACTCAATCGGCTCAGAGAATTTGGACTTACACTGCAGATTGATAAATGCGAATTCTTACGTAAGGAGGTTACTTATTTAGGACACATTTTAACAGAAAATGGTGTTAAGCCAGATCCTCGTAAATTACAAGCTGTAAAAGAATTTCCCATTCCTAAAATACAGAAAAATGTCCAGCAGTTCTTGGGACTGACAGGATATTATCGCCGTTTCATAAAAGATTATTCTATTAAATCAAAACCATTAGTTCAGTTATTAGGTAAAGGAATTCGTTTTAAGTGGACCGAAGACCAGCAAAAAAGTTTTGAAAATTTACGCGACGAACTCTGTACACAACCAATTTTACAATATCCGGATTTTAATCGACCATTCATTGTTACCACTGACGCATCAGATTACGCAATTGGAGCTGTACTTAGTCAAGGAGAAATAGGAAACGATCTACCAATTGCCTACGCATCTCGTACCTTAAATAAAGCCGAAAGGAATTATTCTGCTACAGAAAAGGAATGTCTTGCAATGGTTTACGCAGTACAATATTTCAGACCGTATCTTTATGGAACAAAATTCACACTCGTCACAGATCACCGACCGTTAGTCTGGTTACACTCTGTCAAGGATCCGACATCACGACTTATGAAGTGGAGACTCAGACTCTTAGAGTACGAATATCAGGTTATCCATAAAGCAGGAAAGACGAACAAGAACGCAGACGCATTATCACGTAACCCAGTACCATCTTGCTTACCACTTATACCCCGAGATCCTCAAGACCCCGATTACAAGCACATAGGACAGAAACCAGAAATCGACACGGATTCCATAGGATTTCGTGTGCGGCAACTACAAAGGGACAGGGAAAGGAGACCGAAATATCAAGAGGAAAACACTAGCTCTGATGAAGAACCAGCCCGTGGGAAGGTTCAACATTCTCCAATAGCAGATAGACCGAGAGTCTTACCTAACTTATCGCACGAGATAAGTATGCCAGATGAACACATGGAAACAATAAACTTTCATCCGCAAGCAAATTCTACTAAAATCACATCGACAGAAGAAGACGTAAACTTGATTTCATTCGAAGAACCATCAGAAAATACCATTACGGAAAACACGATAATCGCAAACCCGCAACAGGATTTACTTAACCATACACCATTATCACTTGTAACAAATGAGGGAATTTTACAACCACAACCTGTTAACGAAACAATAGGAACGGCAATCCAGCAACCACAGGAAAACTTTGACCGTACCGTTGACCCTTATCCGTTCACACTTCTTGACACAGACACTCTTTCCACGGAGGGAGATGACCTGCGAAGAAAAGTGCAACCTTCACAGACACTTGAGGTTATTATCTCTCCAAACACCCTGACCACCGAGGAAGGTCATTACGCACATTTCATACCTGCGGACTGTAAATTGGTAACTCCCATTGGAAAACTGTTACTGGACACAGAAGCAATAGATTTACAACAGCTCATGTCAAAGAAACCGCAGAAAGGAGACGTAATAGAATCAGCAAATGGCTCATACAAAGTTTACAGTATAATAATATCAGATAATTTTTACGACACCATTAAAAGTGAAGATATACTAAACGGACTACAAACACTGAAACAGCATTTAGATCAAAATCCAATTAAATCATTTAGAATATCAGCAGTCGGAGATTTTCATAAATTACCAACCAATGAATTAACTAAATTAATAAAGGACGTTTTCAACGGTACAACACAGAAAATCATCATATGCAATTGTTCAACGATTACACCATCAGAAGAAGATTGATTACAAATAATTCGCGAAGCTCACGACAGTTTGATAGGAGGACATAAAGGAGTCACAAAAACATATAAACGCATCAGAGCGAAATATCAATGGCCAGAAATGCACAACGAAATACGAAATTATATCAGGAAATGTCCAAGCTGTCAAGAAGAGAAATTAGTTAGAGCAAAAACTCGTCAACCAATGTTAATTACCGATACCCCGATAGAACCATTTGATAAAGTTGCTTTAGACACCGTAGGACCTTTACCTTTAACGCCTAGCGGAAATAAATACATTCTCACAATGCAAGATTGTTTAACGAAATATTGTATAGCAGTAGCAATACCAAATATTAGAGCAGCCACAATAGCAGACGCTTTCGCGAGACATTTTATTGCCATATATGGAACACCACGAGCAATATTAACAGACAAGGGAACTAGTTTTATCGGAAGCTTAATGAAAAATCTTTCAGAAATATTCAAAATCAAACAAATCACAACTTCTGGATACAGACCACAAACTAATGGATCACTAGAACGAAGTCATATAGTACTAACAGAATATCTTAAACATTACATGGATAATTATGAAGATTGGGACCTATTAATACCATTTGCCATGTTTTCTTATAATACTTCCGTACATGAAGCAACAAATTTCTCTCCATATGAATTAATATTTGGAAAACCAGCCCGTGAACCAAGTTCGTTTCCAACTGGCGAAAGGTTAAAATCATATGGCGACTATTTAACAGAATTAATAACTCATACTATAAAAATCCGCAACATAGCAGCCGATAATTTGATTGCCTCCAAGCACCGTTCGAAGAAGTACTATGATAAACATTCCCGACCGGTAGAATTCAATGTAGGCGATTATGCTTATGTATTGCTAGAACCACGAATTAGTAAATTTGATCCACATTATGTAGGGCCATATGAGATCATTAATGTAACAGATATGAACAACATTGTATTGCGAACACCTGACAAAACGATAACAAAACACCAAGATAAATTAAAACACGCTTATTTTCCATCCACAGCGGAAAAAACGGAAATAACGGGAAATCATGATTCCGGCACAACTACTTCTGATACCTCTGGCTCTGGTTATGAGTCAGACAGCGATTAAAGGCGGTTCAAAGGTGTTACCACTGGCGCAATCAACGGGTTTGTTTTACGATAAATTGTCAGACATACGGACATATCAATCGCAATGGCGATTGGTCACGTCATTGGATGTTGATAAATACCTTGCACATGCACCACCAGTAGAACAGATAATTCTGGCCATGAACCAACTTTGCAAAAAACACGGTTTAGAAACTTGCCTCAGCATGGAAGTAGGACCACGGTTACTTAAAAGAGAAGAAAACACTATGCAGTATAGGAATCTAATACAAACAGCAATAGGAAACGATGCCTTTCCAAAAAGACGACCATTACGACGCAATGCACCATTCGGATTTATTGGCACAATCAACAAAGCATTATTTGGAACCTTAACTCAAGAAGACGCAGATTTTTACAACCAGGAATTGAATAAGTTATATAAAAATCAACTTGAAATAACGGAACTCAACTCGAAGCAAATACACATTGTGAAAGGGGAGTTTTCAGCCATACACGAAAGATTAGTAAATTTAACACAGGTTACATCTGAGCTGATAAAAGCTGCATCAGAACATTCGCGATTCTTAGAAGACACTAGGTCCGAAATTGCCCAACTCCGTTTTGAAACAGCTATAAGGGATACCATTTTAGAATTAGAAAGAGGATTGGACGACTACAGCACTAATTTACTATTATTAATAGACGCAATATTATTAGCGAAACAAGGAATAATGCATCCTGCCGTTTTTTCACCACAGCAATTATTGAAGTCAGCATTAAAGATCAAACAATCTTTAACTTATGAATTTCCATTATCTCCAGAAGAATTATTAACTGAACAAATCGAGAAACTAACGAAATTAAATGTAGTATTTGCAAAAGGCAGAGTATTATTTGTACTCACCATACCGCTTTTGGAACAAAAGGTGTTCAATTTGTATAAAATCTATCCTTGTCCATCAAAGCAGGTTATTAAAGAAAAAGAAGTAGTTACGTACATACAACCACAAATTTCATACATTGCAGTCACTACAGATGAGCAGCAATACTTTTTACCTACCGAGGAATATCTTGGAGTTTGCCGAGTTCATAATAATCAGTTAATAGGACCATCAACATTACCATTATATCAGGTAGAAGGTCATGCAACCTGCGAATCTACCTTGCTTTTGAACCCATCCGCCATAAACTGGGAAACCTGCGATGTAAGGGTAACCACCAAGCTTCAACCATTCTGGCAAGTGTTAAGCGCTCCTGCTACCTGGTTTTTCTTTATGCCAACCCATAAAAAGGCCCAGGTATATTGTAAAGGGGAAAAACCAACTATAGCAAACATTTACAATACTGGAATTTTCAACCTCGAACCGGGATGTAGAGCCACAGTAAATGCGATGCAATTAAAAGCAATGGACACAATAGTAACCATGGAAAATATTATACATTACCCATCCGCGTCATACAATTTATCAGTAATCATTCCGAAAATAACAGAACATCACCTATCAGTTTTAGAAACCAATTACACTAATACAGATCAAGTAATCACAAATTGGAAGAACCTTCCGACAGCACCAAACCTAGAGGAATTGGAGCATCGGGCGAAAGAATTGGAACTTCAAGAAATTTCCACAAATCGTATAAAAATATCAACATTTTCCTCGTTTGGAGTAGTATCTTTGATCCTACTATTAATAATTGGGACAATAATAAAAAGTAATATACACAAAATCATTAATAAACTAAAACCTTTGGACAAACCGAACGAAATTGAATTGCAACTGGAAGAAATACCTAAAAACTCAGAAGAATCAAATTCAAATAATATAAATTTACCAAGGGAAAAATCTTCAGCACCTAGACCAAGTGCCACAATATTCTAAGGGGCCGTAGCCACTCCTACACATCCCTCCTCTAAGAGTCGAAATAAGAGTGGGGTAAGATAAGGGTTTTCAGACTATATAAGCAGTTCTCGGCACCATAGTCTCATCAGTAGACATCCTCAAGAAAATGAACACCATCAAAAATATAGTTTTGAGCAGTTCTGTTCGGATCGGAATTGTCCACGTGGACAATCCGGTAGAATTCTGGGCGCAGGTGGACGACGGTCGGGAAGAAGCTAGGCGACTGTACCGGGACCTGTATCGGTACATGAGCGACCGCGGCCACCTCCACTTTCCAAACCAGGGAAGACTGACCACTGGACGTCTGGTGGCGTACAGAAGTAAAGAAGGTACCTGGGTCCGAGGAGAAGTTCAACACCTGGTGGACGGCCAGTTCGAGGTGGCTCTTCGTGACCACGGCAAGGTGGTAAGGGCACCGGTCGACCAACTTCGGACCTTGCCGCCACGCTTTCAAAATCTACCGTGGCAGGCCTTCAAGGTACGGGTACGGGGTATCCGCCCTGTATGCAGGACCTGGAAGATAGAGCAGGCCAAGAGGGTGTTGGAAGGAAGGAGGGGTCTGCTAACCAACATCAGAGGCGAGGGTGAGGTCGTGGCAGATGTAGCCCTCGATCGTCTACCAGGACAACCACCATTCAACGTGGCGGAGGCGTGGTTGGGCATGAGATACGCGGTTCCAGGCCGGGTATAAAAGCAGACCACAACACCATTCTTCCAAAACACTTATCTGAGCGGACCGAAATGTGCTACATCAGGGAACAACCAACTGAGAGGGACACCAGTCGCATCGAGCTGCTGATGAACTTGACGGCCCGCCTGTGCATGCGCAGCACTTGCTACAGATTAGACGTTGGCATTGTCTGTATGCAGTGTGCTCTCGAAGCAGCCCTTGGAGCAGCAAGGATCTATGACATGGTGGAGGTACACTATCCACTACCAACGGCATATCCGCCTGGGGCCTGCGATATTTGCAGCGCGCCCCTGATGGAGTTGCAGGCCGCCTACCACTGCGAGGAGTGTATTGCCGCCATCATCATGGAAATGGAATACCAAAGAGCAAACCAACCCATACCACCGCCTGCAATAGTACCAACCTGGTACACCGAGAGACAAATCCGATCGAGGCAGCCTAGACCCAGACGTACGCTTCGACTTCATACCGCAGTTAGCAGCATCACCAACCATCACACGTAGCGATAAGTACACACACATCACACATAACACCCGACATATTGCATTACAACACCAAAACTTCAACACATTCTAGTGAGTGTTTTCCTTTCCAATTGAAAGCATCACGATTACCGCGATGTTTCATCTAAGGGGGGAGGTGTCACGTAGACAGTCCGTTTTTATCAAACGTGTCTCCTTTCAAATAAGCTTAAACATCTGGAAAGGAAAACTCTCGGGCAAACCGACCATTTACTCTCGTAATAAACAGAAGGCCCACCGATAGCAGAACCAAACACTTGGGAAAGCAATGGGTCCGCCGTAATCAAATAGCAGATGCAACCACTCTAAACTGTCGCAGAGGCAGGTGGACCCAGCCTGATCACTCGAATAGTAACCAGACCACCCTTCTTAATTAGTATATAAACCCGTTCGTACCAACGATCGGGGGCAGTACCAGAGTTCATCTCGTGTCGAGCACGTCGTGTACGGTAGTGAGTTGGTTACTATTAGTGAGATCGGGTTGAAGTCCCCTTCGAGCAACATTCACCTTATAGAATTCGCGAGTCGTGTTTCTATTTGGCATTACAATCAACCACACACAACACCCCCGCATTGCCAGTGCGTGAACACCGAGCATAGTGGAAATAGGTAATATATCACATTATACACCTATATTCGCGACAACAACATCTGTAATAGACCAAGATTGTAGAATATATACATTGCTGTGTCAAACCCACATTAGCATTCTCCTTTAAACCCAGTGAAACCTTGTGACAGTTCCTACCACAATACAATCTTACCGCTCGGGTTGTATTGATAATAAAATAAGTTACGCGGCCGCCAATCAGAAAGCCTCTGATAGCCACGCGCGCTGCCAAGCCGTCGGCCACGTAACATTGGCAAATCTGGTCGTGATTTTCTTTTCTCTTTTGACATTTTCGATTTCACACTATTGTATGAAATATATGTTGCTGCATCAAGATTTGTACGACAAATATTGTCAAAGATGTCTTTATTATTTACTGAAGGATTTGTACTACATTCCTCCAGCATCGCTGATTTTAATTTTAATATTTCTGTACACTGCGGCTCGTTAGGATGATTGTGTGGTTTTTGCGCAAAATAACGTTCATCTGTTTGAATTAATGTTCCTTTACATTTGTTAGTTTGACGACGAGGACAACGATAGGTATTCGGATTTTTAGAATCTTTATTATAAGAATATCCTTCATAAACGTATATAAAAGTATTTTTTCTTTTCCCATTAAAAATTTCCATTTTATCTGCAGGTGCGTATTATATTCACCTCTTGATAGATTATTGATAAAATATGAAGAATTCTGTGCGTAAATTTATGACAACAGATCTAAATAGAACCACGGACCTGGCCAAGTGTACTGGCTGGGCGGGGAGGTGATACTCCGACATGGCGTGTCCCCAGGTGGCGGATAGGGGAATGCTCGCCATGCACTTTTCGGAGTGCATGGAGGGTAGGAGTGAAATAAAATAGCTCCCGCGGACCAAACACCAAGGGAAGGAAAACCCATCAAAACCTCCCCTGTGACTGGGGGATAGAATACAGGCACGGTAACCCCTGCCTGTCGTAGGAGGCGACTAAAAGGGGGGCGCTTGCTGCTGTCGGAGTAGCCTCGCAGATGACCCGGGGCGATGCCGCACAGTGGGGCAAAACGGTTAAAATGCGGAAAAGCTCTGTATCTCGATAACGGATCGTCGTATCAACCTGATGTTGGTCTCATTCAATTGAGGGGAAAAATATATAAAAAATTACTTAGATTTGATACATTTTAATAATTCATAAGTAATTTCATAAGTATGTTAAATTTAAATTTTTAAAACATTTTTTTGGTAATTTAAGTAATTTCATTTTATAAGTAATATTAAGCAATGGAACATATTTAATATTATATAAATTTTAACACAAACATTCTATAATACATACCTTCAAATTTTATAATAATAAGTCTAAGGCTTCTTCACTGATGGAATGATGTTTCTTTTTCGGTTCAGGCCTCAAGTACGTTATGTAAGGATCCGATGACTCTAAGATTTTATGGAATATGTCCTCGTTCGTGGCAGTGCGGGAACATTTCCTTGTAAAGTGAAGCCGGTAATACTTATAGTCTTTATTTCTACTTTCCTGAGCTTCCTCAGAAAGCATTCCTATTGGTAAAGCTGCAGCTTCTATTATTTCTGCCCCATGCATCAAAACTTTATGGACTGTGGAAGGCATATAATACCACGGATACAAATTAAATTTTTGTGCATCGATGGGAGAGCTGCTATTGATTACTTCCAATATAAGTCCAAGTCGGCGAATCAAATTTTCGTCTATTTGAGTGATGTCAGCTGTCACAGAAGGATTTCGAAAAAACGACCTGGATGTATTTCCGGTATTAGTGGACCCGTATCCCTGCTTAACTGTATCGACCTTTATCCCTATCTCAGTCATGAACCTTTTTTGGATACGTTCCTTCATAGCTTCTTTAATTGGGAGAGTTGTTCGCGAAGTCCTCCACCTCGGCTACAATCTTGAGTTCAAGGAATGAAGTATATACTCCATAAATTTGATTCTCGCATGTAATGGAGAAATACCCAGCTTTAATGCCTCTTCATTACAGGGCTTCATTTCAAGTTTCGACAAATCGTTCATCTCGGAAGGCCGAGCTCCGCAAACAAAACATTTGCTTGCTGCAGTTGAGTCTGTAACATGTTGAGCTACTTTCCCGTCTAACATCGTAAAATGAAGCTTATGTTTTACTACGATGGAACTAGGGCCTAAGAGTGTCAATTGCAAGTTTTTGATCTCACTTTCAACACGCAGTTTCTCAGCTTTTATCAGTGTAGGACCTTCTTTTTCTAACTGGAATCTTAACGCACGACATTATCGGGTTGAAGAAGGCCGAGGATTAACCCAAATGTCCATATTTTGATTTTCAGCGAGAGTAATTTTCATTGGCACAATTGACGTCATAAATAGATTTGAGTCTTTTCTCCTATCATTTTCATTTGAAAATGATTGAGCAAATTCGTTCTGGCCGGAAGAGCTATCAAAGCCCCATTTAGTATGCAAAATCAGTTCACGATCTTTTAATTCTTCCAATTCCTCTTCATTTTTTGTTTTAAAGATTCTTTTTACTGTATGGTCAAGCAAATATTAGAGAGGGACTTCAGCAGAAGTTTCGGTCACTTTTAAGTCGCTAGGGTAACAGTTCTTTTTTGCGTTTTGAATTTTTTTATAGCTTGGAAAGATATCTAACCCAATATACTTCGTAGCTGCTCTTATTACTTCATATTGAAATCGGGACAGTTTAGCGTGAGTAAAAATTGCTAGTGCTGAGTCCGCGGTGAAAACCTTGGATTGATTATCGGAGTGTGACGGACAAGCAGCAGCATCGATCAGACATTGAGGATGCTTCGTTCGAAAATCATGTACTTTGCTCCTTTTACTTCTTTCGCTGCACTCTTCAAAACTTTTTGTGGGCCTCCCGGTTTTCGAAGAAGTCGCGGATTTTTGCTGAATTTCGGGAAAATTAAAAATAAATTCACCCTTCATCCACTCAAAATACTTTCTGCGAAAATAATCCCTATTATAATTTACACTCTTTAATTTTTGTATAAAATGAGGCAAAAACCTCTTGCGTATTCCCGTACAAATTAGACACCGTTCGTTATCACTTAAATGTGACAAATTTTCACTAACATAACATTCAACTTTACTGTTTTTAAACAAAAACTCGCAGAGGTCAGCATATTTTACACTGATACTGTCCATTTTGGTTGAGTAGAACTTGTACACGTAAAGTCTGGTAAGCACGGACGTAATACATGCACGCGACCGATTTTACGAAAATGTATAAAACTACGTACACGTTTGTTACCGTACCTCGTATTGTTACCGCGATCTTTTGCCTAGTCAACAGATCGAGGCAACAAATGTAGACTGTGTCTTGTTACTTCATATTGTTGATCGTTATTTGGTTCGAGTGTATCGATGAATTGTCGGAATATTGACCCCCTCCAAAGAAGGTAACGAGATCAATTTCGCCGTTTTCATATACTCAGACCTGTTTCAGTTTCAGACGATTGGAACGGGATAGGTTTAGAAATACATCCCACACCGAATCTCGTTACCAAAAAACGAAGTAACGAGTGTGAGTAACAAGAGTAAGTAACAAATGTATACACAGCTTAAGGTTTTTAAATGTACACATTTTCTTAAAATTAATTACTTATATTGCCGAAAGTGATAAAATTATTGCTAAGTTTAATCATATTTCATGATTTAAAAGGAAAAATCAACAATAGGTTTTATTTCCAATAGCTCACCCTTTATTTAAAATAAATAACAATCGTTTGGCTCGTTTGTGTACAATACTGATCTCTTGTCAAATATGGAATAATTAAAAGAATTATCTCTTTTGTTAAAAAATTGGACTGGAAAAACCCGATTTTTGACAGTTTAACAAACTGTGGGTCAGGTGTTTACACTCCCCCCCCCCCCCCAATGTATATTATTTGTAAGAGAATCAAAGGGGTTACATTTTTTACTTTGTGAAAACTCATTATATGTTTTGGAAGCTTTGATTTTGAGGGCGATTTTCTCACCCCTGTTTAAATTACCGCACAAATGAATGGTATCCTATTTCGTCATAAGATATGGTCTATCGATTGATATGGGTTTGAAGAAAATCAGAGTTGTATGTGACCTCATTGAGATTTTCTTCTAAACTCGTTTCGCAGTCAACGTGTTAAATTAGTAAAAGATTACTTTATAGCAATACAGCTGCAACAATTGTCGATATTTGTCAATGAAATTTACAAGAAAGATAGTTTGTAATGTCAGTGTTAAAAAGATAACTTCATTGGACCGGAGCTTGCCGGAGATTTTTTTGTAGTACTCGATAAACATATAGAACTACGAACATTTAAACGCTGATTTTGTCTACTATTTTTCTCGATGATCTTAGTGAAATTAGGGCAGAGTAGACACTTTATATTCTTCTTACACATACGAATAGAAAATCTGACAAGTTTCGCATTCATATCTATGAAAATATAGGTATAGGAACAAAAATTCAGTCGCGATTAAAAACTGCCGACTTTTAATCAAGTAATACAGCTTAAATTCAGTGGCCTCTCAGCACCACAAAAAAAAAATAACAAAAAAAAGAGTATCTGAACTACTTTCCTGGACTAATATCGAAAGCAAAATGAAAAAAAAAATAGCAAAAATCAAAACTTTTTTTAAAGAGTTTTTTCCGCCTTGGCTCCACTGTGTGCCGGTGGGATCTTCGGATCCTGGCAGGGCCTCCCTTGCCGGCAAGGCCTGGGTTGGAGAGGCGAAAAGGTGGCGGCGGCGTCGTTGAGTTCTCCGGGGGCCAGGCTGCGTGGCGGTCTGGTGCGGGTAGCGAATCCGGAGTGCCCTAGCAATTATACCGTATACCAGTGGTCACGTTTCGCTGGCGACCCCCCGGGTGTATCAGCCTTATCCGGGTAAGGCGGCTCTGCCCGGGTGGACCCACGGACCGACCCACTCGTGAGACCAAATATGGAAGACATTGAAAAACAAAAACCAAACCTATACGGACGGCATGAACTGGCGACGGTAACGGCAAGTGGAAGGACTATGACTATGGACACTGACACAGCGATGGACGAGTACACGAGCACGGAGGGCAACAACAATCTTTTTGTTGCCCCCCGCCCCCAGAAGGCGAGAAGGGGAGGATCCACCTCCCGTGGGAGTAGGCGTTCCTCGGTATCGGGGAGGGGAACTCCTGCCTGCGAAAGCGGGGATGACTCAGATGAGTCTATCGCATCCGCATCCGTCGTCTCGCTCGACAGGCCCACAACCAGGAGGGGAAGACCGCCTACCACCGGCGAGTACGTCGACTTGGCTAAGGCCACGGAGCGGCTGGTGGAGGCGAAGCGCAAGGAGTTGGAGCTGCGCGCTGAAGAGCGATCTCTGGACCGCTCCCCCCCCCCCCCTCCAAGCAAGAGCAGCATCCCTCTGCCAGAGCGGGAGGAGCTGGAGAGGGAGCTCCGCTACGAGCCGATGGCTGCGCTGGCGGCCCGGTCCCTGGAACTCACAGAGGACGTGGAGAGAGTCGCCTCCATCTCGAAGGGCCTGAAGGGCACGTGCCAAAGGTCCCTTCGAGTAGCCGCCCGGCGCATCAGGGCCATCCACGTCGAGATGGCCAAGAGGGGAGCG